ATACTTGGATATTTATTTTGGATTCAATTTTTTAAGTAATTACAAATAAGATAATACATAAATGGTGAAAGTAAAAACCTATATTTGTATCAAAAGTAATACAGTAGAATTGGTTTAATATTAATTTTTGAGAGGACATTAATTAATAACTTGTATAATTTCTTCAAGAAAAAATGTAATCATAAATCAAATGTATCAGCACAAAACCCCATAGTTTAATTATCTTTCGTAGTTTACAAATGAGCACAAAACCCCATTACTTATTCTGGATCGTAGTAAGTAATTCATACCGTTGTGAATTGCTATCCGTCATATATATATTCACTTCGCATGTTATTGCATATAAATCGACCCCAACCCCAATTAATTGGGAAAAGGCTTTGACGATAATGATGATGATGTTGTTGTCTATGAAACACTCAACATATTCACCATCCATTATCTCAAAACATATTCACCATCCATTATCTCAAACTTTTGAGTTATTGAGAAAAACAATTCTCAATCAAATTTTCTAGGCCCACCACTAGAAGCATGTCAAAGGGTCAAATCTTGAACACATGGTACCTTCTTCTATGACAAGAAATGCTCCTCCTATGGACTCTTAATCCTCCTCCTCTTGAAGGGGATTCTCCATTCCTAAGCTCCAACTATAATGGCCAAGTCAAGAGCTCTTCTTTAAAGAAGATCGAGAAGCAGTTTCTCTTACAACTCAACACAGAAGGATGTCATGAATGTGACAATGGCAAGTGTTAGATACATCCAGTATAGAGGAGCAATTAACTGAAGTTTGAAGTCTTCTACATAAAAGAACGTAGAGATGAAGGTAACTCTTGCCCAAAAGGATGCGGAAATGCAAGGGCATACTTATCGTGACGACTTTGAGATAGAAGCACTTGCGATGACTGATCCTGTTTGATGCAACAGAGACGTGAACTGATTTTGAAAATGCGGCTTAACTCTTGTGAGAGATTCTGTGCAGTCAAATTGCAAAATAAATATGAAACACCACTGTCACAAGCATTTCCCAGAGTCAGTTCTGCCAATCTGGGATCTTAGAATGTTTCATCTAATGATGAGAGTATGATATAAAACTTACACTAGATTAGGGACAGCAAGGTTACTCGAGCTAGCCAAGCCTCTCAGCACTTCCCGTTATTATCAACTTTAGTGCGTGAGTTATTATACATGAATCTGATGTAAACATGGGCATGATGACATAACACTACAGAAGATCCAGAACTGAACAATTTATCATTTTTTACCTGATAAACATAAACTACACAATGAGGTATTCACAATCTCTTCTTCTATAATTATGTGGACTACAATAATTCAAAACCATGATTAGTGTCAAGGATTTTCCTTCCTGGTCAATGATAAATCTTAATAGAATGTAACTCATCCCACCTACCAATAATCAGAACATGAGCAAGTCCCTTCTCTAAAGCAATGAAAACGCCTCGAGTCCCTCAAAACAATTTCCCTTGTTTCAATCAAGGAAACCAATTTCATCCAGTTATGACAATCTCCACATATTCGTAGGTTCTTGATGACCCTAATTGGCTTACCAAGTGGGCTACTCAAAAGCCCAAAAGAGACTGCAAGCTTTTCACTGTGATTTTGGATAATAGCTTCCTTTTGCACCTCGTCCACATCATGCAAAACGAGTTCTGTTAGAGGAACATAACCCAATTCACTAATTCTCACATCCAAGTCCTGCAACTTTGCACGAATCTTCTTTATCAGAGGGTGAAAAACATCCCCTGCAACAAATTCGTGCTTGTGGTTATTGATTTCAATCCAACTGCACCCAAATTCCTTCTTTAAGCCCCTGCTTTTCATCTCTCTCCTCACTTGCACTGCATGTTCCCACTTCCCACACGAAGCATACATGTTATAGAGTAACACATATGCTGTCTCATCACTGGGTTCCAACTCTAGGACAATCTTCGCAGCATGAACTCCAAGCTCCAATTCTTTATGAACATGGCATGCTCCAAGTAAAACTTTCCATAGGCAACTTTGGCTCTCTAAAGGAGCAGTCTTGATGAAATCCCTGGCTTTGTAAAGCTGGCCTGCACGCCCAAGAAGATCAACGATACAGGCATAGTGTTCCTTTTGAGGTGTCATGTGGTAATCTAGGATCATAGATTTGAAACAATGGCTGCCTTCCTGGAGCAGGCCAGCATGGGCACAACCAGTAAGTACACCAAGAAAAGTAATGGAATTTGGCTCAATGCCATTGAATCTCATTTCCTCAAATAATCTGAGGGCTTCAAGACCCCTACCATAATGGGCATACTCGGTGATCATAGCAGTCCATGAGAAAACATCTCTCTCTATCATTTTAAGGAATATGGTCTCTGCATCACTTATGCTTCCACATTTTCCATACATTGATATTAGAGCATTCTGAATTGATCGAGAAGATTGGAGTTTTGTCTTAAAGATGAATCCATGAAATTGTTTGCCTAATTCAAGAGCCGTGGATTTTCCACATGTAGTAAGGAGTATCGAAAGCGTTAGATCATCCAATTCGATCCTGTGTCTGTGCATGTCCATAAATAGTCTATTGGCATCGTGGGGATATTCATTGCTTGAATACCCATCCAGCATCGCATTCCATGAGCACAAGTCTCTTCTGCCCATCTTTTCAAACACTATCTTGGCAAAGAGTGGTCTGCCACAGTTGGCATACATGGTCATAAGGCCATTGTAGGTCGAAACATCTACTTCACAAAAATTCTTTAAGAGATATGCATGTATCTCTCTACCACTTCCTAAGGATGCTGATGCAGAAGATGCACTGAGCATAATGTTTAAACTGGCTTTGTCAGGCGAAATACCAGAAAAAATCAATTCATAAAAGAGATTGAAAGAATCCTCAGTTTGCTTATTTTGCAAGTGCCCAGATAGCATTGCATTCCATGAAACAATGTCATGGCTAGGCATGCTTTTGAATACCTTCTTGGCTCTTGAAAGATCACTACATTTGGCATACATTGTAATGATGGAATTTGAAATCGACACATCCTCTTCAAGCCCAGACTTAATAAGCCAGCCATGGAGCTCCATGCCCTGGTTCAAGACTCTAAGAGAAGCCACCACACTGAGAACACTCAGCATTGTTACCCTATTGGGTTCGACCCCTTCTACCTGCATATCACGAAACACATCTAAAGCACCTGTGTCAAATCCATTTCGTTCATACCCTGAAATCATTGCATTCCATGTCACCGTATTTTCTCGGGCCATGTTATTAAACACTCTAATTGCCTCTTCCAAAATTCGAGATTTTGAATACAATGTAATGAGAGTATTCCCCATTGTTGAATCCAAGTTAAGCCCTTGTTTGATAGCAAACCCATGCATTCCTTTCCCAAATTTCAGATCCCCTACCGAAGCAAAAGCACCAATCAGACTTCCATAAGTTCGCTCATTGGGCCTCAAACCTTGCACCAGCATTTCTGAAAATAGATGAAAGCTTTCATCCCAAAGACCATGGCGAGAGTAAGCCGATATGATAGAATTCCACAACGAAGCATCATAATGGATTGATTCTTCAAACACTTGTCGTGCATGATCCAAAAAATCACAGGCTGCATACATTGTCACAAGAGCAGTATTGACGCACAAGTCGGAGAACAGACCAGTGTACACCGATTGCGCATGGAG